TTTTGGGGGAATCTTTGATCAGCTTTCCGAGGTTTTCAGCGAGTTCCTGATCATCGATGTCATCCTGGCCTGGCATCTCTGCCGGCAAATCCTCCTCCAAGAGCGGCGCATCCAATGCAGCTGGGTCGGGCGTCTCAGGAGCGTACTCAAGCCCCGGCATAACGCCGTTCATGTGCAATAAGTGCCGTTCGACCATTGGAAAAGAGAATTCGCCATCTGGACATTTGATTTGATTTACCCTCAAAGGAGCAATAGGTTGATCATAGTCCTTCTCCATCAAATCTCGCAAAGGAATAACGAGAAATTCATGACGCCAAAGAAAGTCAGGATGGATGGGATACCCCAGAAATATTCCAGCCCTGGAAGTAGGTTCAAACTTCAAAGGCTTGTTGGGTCGATTCCTCGGGCCGGTCCAAAAGTTGACTTGACAACCAAAGGGCAAGTATGGACCGGGAAAATCTTCTCCAAAACGTACCTTCCATGGTGAATAATAATCTGGGTGGTCCGTGATGTTATGCGCCATGCAATAGTGTTTGGCGGCATGTGGCCAATACGAATGATGCAAACCAGCTTGTTCCAGGTTGGTCCTCGTGCCCTCGATAATCGCCCTGACGTTCCTCTCAGCAATAGCATTTGTTTTGGAAATGTAGTTTGTACTTTGAACATGCTTCCATTCCAATTGATCTGCCGCTTTCACAAGTTCAGGAGCCCGATCACTGTAAAACACGTTCACGGTTTCCCCGGTGCGGACAAAGTGCTTGAATGCCATCACACACTGATGAGAGGTTTTCCGTGCTGCTGGGTAAACATAACGGAAGTCAGTGGCAACATCTCGAACAACAAGTGCAACTCTAGATTGGTCAATGCCGATTTCACGATCATCTGATGTAATAAGATGGTCCGCCGTGAGGTGATCACCAAACTTCTTGGCCTCGACTTGAGTGGAACCTCCCTTCTGTCTTGATGGATATTTGTACATCTTCGCCCTGTTGCAAGTCTCACAAAAGGGATTTTTGGGAGTGTGACACATCAAGTGCTGGAGTGAGGTCGCCTCATCACGCAAAGCTGCTTCACCGCGTTCGCGAGGGGCGTCCTTCAAAATAGGCTTCGACACAAAATCGGAAGCGATGACCTTAGGCGCATCTTCGGAGGGAATGTCATGGCACTCTTCAATGACCTCACCTTCCGGTTGGCTAATGGTGTCCTCAAGCAAGAAATCATCGTTCCCCAATTCATCCCCATCATCCTCATTGGTCACAAGCACCTCTTCAACAGCTTCGGGTTCCTCGTCAATGACCAGAACTTCATCATCGATTTCAATGGGAGCTGATGGTAATGATGTAACCTTTGGAATGCTCTGTGACAAAGCTGGAACAGCATTTTGAGTTGCTGGGGGAATGAATGGGACATTGTCTTTGACCTCGAGCTTGATGCGTGAACCATCCGGAAGTCGAAAATAAGGCCTGCTGTGGGCTCTCCAAACGATATCATATCCGTCCCTGAGGCATCTCATACCCACGGATAACACGGATGGAGCCTTGTCAAGAACATATGGCCGAACAACACTATCGGTCTGTTGGATCTTGACCCTGGCTTGCTTTGTACCGATGATATTCCCATTAGCTGTGGAAAATTTCAGAGGCTGAGACGATTCGTAAATACATCCCATCTCCGCATCGGTTCCCGCTAGCAAGTCCTGAGAAGCTCCTGTATCTGCGATCCACGGAATGTGAGAAGAGTCCATTGTCATTCGAGCAACAGCAGCTTCCCCCCTTTTGGGGGAGGTCACGGACTTCTCTGGCTCGGCCGTTAGGCCTGCGGGGATGCAGGAATCACAACCGAAATCAGAGTCGCACTGAAATTTGCAAGGAGTCTTCGTGCCTTTGAGCAAATCCTTCATCATAGCTTCATGCATGGTGCCGATAAGAATTGCGTCAGAGACGGCTCTCTCATCGAACTTCGGAACATAATCAACAGGAAACTCGTGTGCAAACCTTCTCGACGAGGCAGTGTAGGGCCAAAGCTCGCCGTCAGTCTCATAGTTCGAAATGGATGGGTAATCAGAAAATTGCACGCATTTCTTGATGCATGGCATACACTGGAAAACATCGTGAGTCACACTAGGCAAGCAAGGATGCGAGGCGACCGAGTCGAGGGTCGCGGCGCACACCATCGCCTGGAGGAGGCACACCGCAGCATTGCTGCCTTTTGACGATCGCGGAGACTTGAGGGACTGAGAACCCTTTGAATCTTTCGAATCTTGAGAAGAAGGCCTGCTATCCTTCTTCCCCTTTTTCTTTTTCTTGTCCCTTGGCGACGTCTTGGGGGTGTCTCCACTAGCGGTCTTCTCGGCCTTTGGGGCTGGAGCTGCCTTGGAAGTTGCGGGGTGCTGCCATGGGCAATCTTTCCCCCTCTCACATCTGTTCGCTTTGAAGAACTTGCACACCTGGGGCTTCGAACCAGGAGGACTCTGCGAACGATACTTCCTTGGCGTCTGGGGTCTGGACCCGCCCTTCTTGCCTTTCCCCTTACCTTTCGGTGCCTTAACATGTTCGAATCGGCAGTCTGAACCATAGGTGCACTGGCCAGTTTGAAATTTGATGCATACACCCTTGGGGATTCCAGGAACTGCAGGGTTGTTCGACGGAGTCCTGCCACGCCCCGTTGTGTTGCTTGACATAGCATCCCGCATGTGAACAAGCCTCTTGCGCTCCAAATAATTCCTCGATGCGTCAATCAAGAATTTATAGGAGTGCTTTTCCGTACCTTCCTCAGCTCGCTCATACTCATTGAGATCATGACTGAGGGGCCGAAACTTTCGAATCTGGCGGTGGAACAGCGCTTCGAGGGTCTTCTCATTTTGCTCATTGCCCATTCCAGCGATGACCGTGTCCCATCTCGTCATGAAATTTCTGAGGTCCTCGTTGATGAGCTGGACAGAGAGCAAGTCCTCAAAGTCGTAAATTGCACCATGTTTGATGTTCGTGCTGAAGTGCTTGTGAACCATCAGAAGAATTTGGCGCCCCCTCGCATAGCGTTTCTCCTTTGCTTCTTGTTCTTTGAAAATGTCCACTTGCCGCGCGAGGTCGCCCTCCAAGATATTCGTCAACGCCGATGCCAGCTTTGCATCAAGATGGACAAACATTCCTGAATCACGAAGGACTTCAACAGTTTGACCTGGGATCCAAGTTGCCTCAATCCATTCGAATGCCTTTTCGGGTTGATCGGAAGTAGCAACAACAGCATCCCTAACTTTGATCCTCCAATTACGGTACTGTTCGGGCTTCGGGAATCGGGGAATCTGAATTCTGTCACCCTCCTTTACACGAACGCGTTCCGCTGTCGGATCGCTCGAATTACCTAAGTGCTTCAGTAGCTTTCGTCGAAAAGATTCATCCGATGCAGTTGAAGTTGATGATGAAGATGACGAGGGAGAAGACGACGGATCTCGTCGCCGGCGTCGGCTACGGTCCTTCTTCTTTTTCTTCTTCTTCTTCTTTTTCTTGTCCTTGTCATTTCCACCATCACCATCATCGCAAGGCCAACCGTCTCCGGTAGCAGCATCGTCCACGGCCCCGGCGGGAACAGATCCGTCTTTGCCGTAGGGGTCGCTCCCGACTTTCGTCCAACTGTGCGAGGAAGCATTCGAAAGTCCGGGTGGAGATGCAGCCAAAGGAACTGTCGGGATAGCCAAGCGGGTAGCTGGTGCCTGCTGAACCGGAGGCGCAGGAGCTGGAGCAGGTTGAGCAGGCGGTTGCTGTTGATTCTGCACCATCTGCTCGACCATAGCCCTTAGCTCTCTGATCTGCTTCTCCTGCTCGCTGATCGTGTTCATGGCGTTTTGGTACTTCATCTCGGCTTCTCTTTCTGACTTCATGGTGTTCGCACGCTGCTCCGCATTCATCTGAATCTCGCGTCTCATGGTCTCCGACTGGCTTTGGAGACCGGCAATGATCTCACCATGCCTTGCCTCCGCCAGCTGGGCGACCATGGGACCGGTGTCCTGATTCACGAACTGGTTGAATTGGGCATTGTTCTGGGTAGCGTTGATCTGCTGATAATTCGTCACGTCCTGGTTGATCGTCATTGATGGATCGAGGTGGACGTTCGCAACATGTTGGTTGAACTGATTCATGGACTGTGGCATAGGGTTTCCCCTTGCGAGGTCGGTCTGGGGGTCGTACATGACGATGTCACCATGCCGATGTCGATCTGATCCTACAGGAGAAGGAGATCGAGCACCAGACCGCCCAGCCCTCCCACGGTCACTCCGGGATCGAAGTGATTCGGGGCCCTGACTGCTCAGTGCTTGTCCCTTCCTGATGAGCTCCCTGGCCACTTGGGAGTTTGCTCGACTAGTCGGTTCATATTGCGAGGCGTCTTCATCGCCTGCTGGCTCACCAGGTGTGGGACGCACCTCGGTATGGGGTAGTCCAGGGTCGCCATCCATGGCGTACAACTCTGTACAAAGAGCCGCTTACGGCTGATAACCTATAGAACAGGTTAAACAACCGGGAAGGGTCACAATTGAACCCTGTACTCAGCGCGCTTTTTCCTTGAGCCACGTGCAGTCGTAATGATGAGACTGCACAAGTGAGACATGCATGCATTGGGGTTTACATGGTTGATAAATACATCACGTTGCAAACTACACTATGTTTGCGGAACACGGCCCTTCCCGTGATACCAATATTGTTGCTTTCCAGCGGATCCCATTGCTATCACAGAAATTGGCCCCATTTTCCCACAACCATGGGCCCATAGGGAGGAAGAAATTAAGCACACACACCCGCCAGCATTGCGCAATGAGGGGTCCATACAAGAAGGTGGCAATGGAATCACAAATGGAACAAGTGCCAATGTCTGGAGGGACCTGGCCACAACCTCTGGCGCAAGGCTTTTCAACAGGGCTCACGCCACTCCTGGACTTTCCCCAAATTATTTGAGACTTCAGGTCTTATTTGATGCCCATCACCTGTTTGCGATACACGCGAAGCTTCCAAGAACAGTGCCCTGGTCTTCTCGCTCACGAAGCCATCATCCCGCATCACCTGGCTATGAATCTAACAAGGCAACGGCAACACCAACGCAAAGTCTTCGGCATCAAGCCCGACGTACACGATGCCCCGAAGGGCCCTCGAGCCAAAAGTTATCCCCACCTGGAACTTGGAATTTGTCGTAAGGTAGTCCGGCGTGTAAATCTCGGTGTATCCTCCCGTGGGATATCTGGCCAGGATGCCCTCGTACTCCTCGCCATTGGCGTCCGGCGTGAAGAAGAAGGAAGGCACGCCCTCGCCGTTCATGGGGCCAAATGCATCTCGATCCAACGCCTCAATGACTCAAGGCCGACACGCCAAAAGTCTTCCATGCAGACTTTTTGTGGGTTGGGATCAGCTCAGTCCTGCCAAAGGCCAACATCAACCACAAAGCAGCCTCAGGCAAAACTTCCAAGGCACCTCTGGGCTGAAAGGTCCATAGCAAGTGGGGAAGTAGCTGCTGAATTGCTCGGCGACCTACGACGTCAGGGCCAACAAGTTCACTCACCGCAGGCGTTAGTTGGATACTTATGCTCGAGGGTGAAAGTGTCAACGGAAAGGCATTGGACATGGCCCGAGGTATTTGTCAACAGGTCTTGCAAAATGTCCGCCCGGGCTTCTGTGGCAATTATGCTGAGATGCCTCTCCAATGCCCAAACACCACTTGCGCGTGGCACAGGCATGCAGCCAAGGAATCAAAAAAGAACCAGCATCCTTTCTGCAAGCGAGGCGAAACAAATCAAGAACAGTACTCGCCAACCAGGCCAGCAAACCAGCCAGAAACAGCTATCTCAGCAAGCCGTGCTGAGTGGCCTTGCACCCTAAGTTGGGCTTCACGTTCATTGCCCTCATCCGACCCAGGCCATAGAGGTAGTTGGGCCCATCGATCTGCAGCCAGGTGGGGATCGTTGCCCCAGGGTACGAGTACTTGGCCAAGTCTTGCCCGTAGACAGCAGGCATAAAGGACCTCGATTACATTCAGCCCCTTGCTGACTTGGCCAAGCAGCTGCGGCTAAGGCCGCAAAGAGTTTCCGACTACATACAAAACTGTAGTTGGAAACCTCGCACCCAAACTCGTTTAAGAAAAGAACTGGTCAAATATGCGCACACACACACACAATCACACAATCACACACAATCACACACAATCACACACAATCACACGCAATCACACGCAATCACACGCAATCACACGCAATCACACGCAATCACACGCAATCACACACAATTACACGCAATCACACACAATCACACACAATCACACACTCACACACACACACACACACTCGCACTCACACACAATCACACACAATCACACGCAATCACACGCAATCACACGCAATCACACGCAATCACACGCAATCACACGCAATCACACGCAATCACACGCAATCACACGCAATCACACGCAATCACACACACACAATCACACACAATCACACGCAATCACACGCACACACGCAATCACACAATCACACAATCACACAATCACACAATCACACAATCACACAATCACACAATCACACAATCACACACACACACACAATCACACACACACACACACACACACACACACACACACACACACACACAAACACACACACACACACACATATATAGAAATATATCTGTATATATATATATATATGTGTGTGTGTACGTAATGGGACAAACGAATGACAAACTAGACGCTGTGCTCTGGCTCTGTCTGTTTTCTTTGCGATGCGGGTGATTTGCGCCTCGGTTCTCAGCCCGGTCTTGCAACAGTGGTCCCCATGTTTGCCTTTTGGTGATTTTGAACATCGCCTTTTTGGCCCATTTAAGGTGAGTTCCCCTGGCAGAGAACCCTATGTTGAAAGGGGCGTCACCCTAGCCTGGCCCGCCACCCACAACAAGCAACCTGGAGGGAAACTGCAGCCACCTATATAAGAGGCACTCAAGAGCGCGGGTGGGCAAAGCTAAGCTGAGCGACAGTGCCTGCACAAAGCCTCAATGAACATAATCTAAAGTTTTGGCCGAATCACACAAATTGCATTTCTCAAAATCGGGTCCCCAATATTCCCCAATAGTTTGGGCCTCCCTTAGATTCCGATCACAACTTCTTTCAAACTCCGGGGTGCGCGTTGTGGTAGTCCCAGAAAGCTTCCACAGAGCCCACGTCCTTGAGGCGCACGGGGGCCGTTTCGTCAAAGCGCTTGCGCAGGTATCCCTCGAAGGCCCGCATCTTGTCTCGGGGCTCGCTGAGAGCCAGGGAGGTGAAGAGTATCAGGAAGCAAACCTGAAGCGCCCAGTCCAGCCATGCAGCCATCCAGCCACGCGGATTAGGGCTGGTTGAAGAAAGGCACCCTTGATTTGTTTGGGGGCATGCCCTTGGCATCGCAAAACAAAGTAGCCCTGAAGCCCAATTGCCCACAGCCATGAAAGCTGAAGCTGATCCAGTCGCCAAGCTCGGCAAGACGCATCTGCTTCCAAAAGAAAAACGTGCTTCAGGTTGCCATGACCAGAAATGGCTGTCCGAACTGGAAAGCCGCAGCATCAGAACAGGCAATGGATGAACTGCGTCCTAGAGAATTCCATGAGCATTCCAACCTCACTCGGATGGCATTGGAAGTCTAAGGGATGAGCCATGTCACGACCTCGTCTTCTGGCAAATGTCAGGTGAAAGGGTACGTAAAGCTTCATGGGCCCAACCTCCGTCAACAGCTCAGTCCAAAGGGCGGGCAGGCCCTGGCTGAGACTGATGGGGCAGTTTGTTTGTCCTCAACGGTTCGAAAGATGATCAGACCCCATCAGGCATCTTGTCAGTTATCGCGCTGAGCGTGGTTTGGTTTGCAAACAACCGCTGGCCCATGTTGCAAGCAAGCGATTTCAACCAAAATCGCTTACGCGGGTCAAAATGGAAATCGATTTCTCGATCTGTTCAAAGCGAAAAACGGGTCAAAATGGAAATCAATCCAAAATGACCTGCTCAAAACTAAACTAAAAGGCAGTGCTCTTTTGTGACCAGAAACGAAGAGAACGGTGTTGAAGGTGGACCGCAGCAAAGCCTTCAGCCCGCTCTTCTGCTGCAGCAACTCATTGACCCGCTTCTCATCCACAAGGATGGCGAGACCTGCCCGGAAGCGAGTCACAAATGCGCTCCCTACGGGCGGCGACCCCAATCGGCCATCCAATCCGCAGCTCTACCCTCGGCTCTCCCTCGCCTCCGGTTGCTGCCATGTTGTGTGCCTGTAGCAACCTCTTGAATTCATACCCTCCAGCCGGACATGAGCCGGCAACTTGGGCCAACGGCGGCGTCCCCAATGAATGCCCCCAGCAGGCTAGGTATCCATGTTTGGTCAGTTTGGTCGGTGGGATATAGATGGCGCTAAAGAGCGTCTGTTTTTGTCCCAGAAGGATGCCTTCTGCCTCTTGGCGAGGCCCTGGCGGTTAATTCTGCAGTTCACTCCCATCAGCAGTCACTGCACGCCAACAGATTTCAACCATGTGCATGCAAGGGCGCTTGCTGACAAAGAGCCTCGCACATGGGGAGGTGTTTTTTTGTTGAGGGAAAGCTGCCCTCTCAAGTTAAAAAAAGAGCGTTTTGAACAAGAAGAGACCCTCTCATGTCACCGTAGACTTGTTGGCTGGGCGGTGTGCAGCATGCTGCTGAATGGCAGGCAACCAGCCCGTCCTTTCGAGAGCCGTCCGCCTCCGTCATGACACCCTTCCCGTGGATCTCACCGAGGGTCCATTCACCCTGTACAGCATTGAACTGTCTGGCCGTGCTCGAAACTAACGCAAAGACTATGTCAGCAGATGTCAGCACCAACACCCATATATAGCAACGTTTGCCACAACAAGGCCATTTTTTGTTCAGCATAACGCGTGCTTTTTCGTCTTGAACGATGATTTGACGCTCCGCACCTCATAGCACTTGCCAGTCGGCCACGTCAGCTTGCCCATGCCGTGCTTCTGACTCTTCACGTAGGCACCTAGTCCGGTTTCAAGCACCGGCTTCTGCCAGGATCGCATTGCGATTGTTCAATTGCAATTTTTCAATTCTCGCGTCGGGCTCTCCCCCACACTACCCTTTGCATTGGGCGTTTGTTTCCAGCAACCATTTGCCCCAAGAAACAAGGCCATCTTTAGCTCTTTGCAGCCTACTTGCCACGTTATTCTGGACACAGATGTCCACAAATGGCAAGTGTCTGTACATTCGGGATATCCAGGTTCTTGTCTTTCTTGGTGTTTTTTTCCTTTGAAACCCTCCAACATCATCCACACGGAGCGCCCTCAAAGACCACAAACCGGCGCAGTCATCCCGTTCAGCCGTGCCAGGGCGCCCTCATAAATGCGGCCATCCGGGTATTTGAAGATGCCGGTTCCCTCCATCTGCTGCCTGACCTCATGTCACCAATGGGGAACATCGATATCCAAGCAGCACTCAGCAAGGCCGAGTTTTCCGACTTGAATGTGCGGAGAAAAACCACATTGCACTTTGCACGTCGAACAACATCTCGGCTGGACGAACGTCTGGCACCAACAAAAATGCCAGCAGCATCTGGCAGCACCATGTCGCTGCTGCACGCTCGCTTCGAACCCCAGAAATGCTTTTGAAAGTTCAGCAGGCTCTGGCGGGAATGCCCCAAGGAACCGCCAACAGCAAGAAATACACCACTGTGCGCAACACAGAAACGAAACTTCTCCCCTACGATAGGCCATTTGTGTGCGCATATTGGGGCCACGCATGCCGTCGCCGAGGGTGCCTGGAGTTTGGGGACACACAGGCTTGGCATCAATCGGTTCAAAAGCTTGCGTTCCAGAACGCAAACACAGGAATCGGGTGTCAAGGCTATCGCCCCATGTAGAGGACATTTGGGGCGGGGGGTCCTGCAGGCTGAGCAAATCACTTACCCCTCTTTATTAGAAGTTAGAACCCCTGTAGCTTTCAGCTATCTGGGGACTGATTGATATCATGACAAAAGAGATGGGCGAACGCTTGGTTGCCGTTGAGTCAGGAGAAACCTTTCTGGACCTCACCACTTTCTGCGTTGCAAACTGCCAAAGCAGCATACGTATGATTAAGGACATCTAAGGACAACAAGGGGGTCCCCCTCTTTACACTGTTCCTTTTCACCCACGAAAAGGATATGTATGGGCAAGAAGCCCTTGCCCCGCGCCCGGGTCCCCTCCCCCTTCCAAACTCCCATCAAGTGAACAAAAGCGTTCCTCCGTGGGTTTGTTTTTGTGACGGTATGTCTGTTGGATAACTCCTACATGAACATCGAGAGAAAAATCCAAAACATCGATATGAAGCTTCAATAAGAGTTTCCAAACCAAGTCATTGAAGGACCATCCAGTTCTTTTCGCTCGGTTTGAAACACCCTCGAATCGGAACCGCTCGCCATGGCAGACCCAAGGATCGCCCCCTCCGAGGTGCCCATTGCCCATCATAGCTGCAGCCATCCGTCCAAACGTAGACGCCTGTGCCGTGGATGTCCTGATGGAATGCCGGCGTTCAGCGTGCTGAAAGTCGTTTCAATGGCGCTCTGCCTACGTTGGCTTTGAAAGCTTCGAGTTGCCAATCCAACGCTGCGAAAATGCAGTGACTCTGCTTAGAACATGTGGCATAAAGTTGCTATCACCTGGACTTTGTCAAAACCGCGCGGCCACCAAGGCTGCAAAGCATGAGAAGCCACCGATCACCCTGTCTCCCAGGAACAGACCACTCTGAGCCGGGTAGCATTGTCCACAAAATCCCCCTCGAAGTAGGAGCCGTTCGGCCAGGTGTACCTGCCTCGCAGCGCGGCCCGGCAAACGGCTCAAAGGAAGCCTCAAACTGAGCACCCCCTTGCCCCCTTCAATGCACATCACATCACATCCAGGTCTCAACTGAAGACCGTTGCTTGGACTGGCGGGCCGCAAGACAGCAAGATGCAAGCCCGTGCAGGTTGGCCAAACCTGTTTCCGGCCTCGGCCGTTCTTGCGACCTGCAAGGTACTGGCCTGGCGCAAGCTCGCACAAGTGTGTCCACCCCCCTTGCGCCGGTGCGCAAGCAAGTTAGATTCAAGCTCTTGACATGCCCCTCTGAATATGCAAACAAGTCAGGAAATGAAGAGCGTGTTTAGAGTGGAACACAACAAGCAATCAATAATGGCGCACCTGCTAATGCTTCCCCAAATCACATAGATTTGTAACGGCGGGACTACTAAGTGAATGCAAGGACGGAATGCAATGAGAGATGTTGCCCGCAAAGTTCGTGTCTGGAGCAAAGGCCACAAGTGGCTGTGCAGAGCCGTGGCTTTGCCAGAAAGTGGCTGGCAGTGGCCCTCCACCCTTTGCTGGTGGGAGTATTCCTGCATGACATCCTCAAAAATCACCCTCCAAATGGTGGCTTATGGTGGCTTGGGGGAAACCACGCCGCAAATCCTCAAATTGCTTCTGCTTTAAGGCACACAGTTTTAACCCCTCGCCTGCATAGCACGCACCATCGGACCACTCCTCCGTGCCGTCGCCGGACTGGAGATCGTTCAGCCACTGGCCAGAGTACCTGTCCAGAACTTCCCCCCCCCCGGAAAAACAAAATGCATATATATATATATTATATATAAATATGTGTGTGTGTGCCTATGCTGATGTTTAGCCCATGTTGGGCCTAATTCGGGACCATGCTGGTTTGCTGGTGTGAGGCTGTTTTTCGGTCATGGTCACAAAGACTATCCCGGGATGAGCGAGAATACCAAAGAAAGCAGTGCAAAGAACATCTCAGCTCAAAACTGCCACTGCCACTTACTTCTGCCAGGCGGGCAGCCTGCCCTTGAACGATGACCCCTCGGCGCCCGTCTCAAACGCAGGGCAGGGCCTTGAGCCATCGGAGTGCACGTAGCTGCCCTGGCCATGCCTCGGAAGCTGCCATGCCGCGCTGCTCCAAGTTTTGGGGAGGCTCCAAACAACCGCGTCACGGGAAAACTGTAATTAACGCTTGATCAGGCTTCCTTCGAAAAGCTTCCTTCAAGGAGACGTTTCAAAACGTGCTTTGCATCTGGATCCTCTAAACCAACTAGAAAAAGTGACTTTTTGACCCCTCGGCGGCAGCTGTATGAGCTTCCGTCCTTCATGGCTCAAAACCCTTCGAACACTCCAGATTCCGCCTAGATCCGAAATGAACATGGGAGTGCTCTTTTTCCGACTCCCAACTAGTCCGCTTCTCGGTGAGTCGTCAAACCCGGCCGGAGTCACCCCATGGGGTGATTTGCGCATTCGCCGGGGCGCTTCATGCTCCCGTGCCACTCTCCATCATAGCTGGCGCCGTCCGCATGTTGCAGCCGGCCGCTCCCGTGTGCTTTGTCGTCCTGCCAGTGTCCTGGGAAGAAAAGGAGCACCCTGCTGCTGATGAGAACAATCCTTTGTAGGGCGGGAACTCTTCTTGGTGGACAGCTTGTGAGTTCCATGTTTCTTTCTTTATTCCCCAAACAGCTGAAAGCTTTGGGGTCTCAGCCCAGATAGGCTCCGGGGTGGTCCGGGCGGCCCTGAGGTAAGGTTCCACGAAAATTCCACCAGGGTTCCACCAGGGTTCCACCGGGGTTCCACGAGGGTTCCACTAGGGTTCCACGAGGTTCTGCAAGGGCTCCGCGTGCTGTTGGGGATATCACCTGAGCTTATTATTTTTTCTCCCTTGGGGGATATACAACCACTGGCCACTAGGAAAAAAGGAATTGGAGAGTACACACACCCTTAGAGCGTCGTGCGGAGTTCAGCCGTGAATTACCCAGCCATCCCGCTCCTTCATAGGTAGAGCCATCTGCTTCCACGTGGATGCCATAGCCTGGGCTGAGCGCTAGGAACAACGTTTTGCACAGGGCTCAATGACAGGGGCTTGGAAAACCGCGGGCCTCTTCCCCCCGCGTGCGTGTCCTGCCGCCTTCAAACACTGGGTGCAGATTGGAAAACCAATCAAATCAAAATGGAGTTGTCTCCAAATGGGAGGACCCCCCACAAAACGGCGCGCCTTTGAGCCAGCACCGCAGAACTATCTACAAGACCAATCAGCCCAACTGGGTGCCAAATGCCAAGGGGTAGTTTTGTTCGTGTTTCCAGAACCCCCCGCTTTCCCCGGCGTCCAAACTGTCCGATTCGGAACTCAAACGGCATGAGGGCGACTGGCCGGCCCAGCTCCGTGCCCCCAAGGCGCCGTGTCTCATATTGCCCTTCCACTGGCCACCTCAGGCACCAATTCAAATGCTGCCTCATGTCACAAGATTTCCCAGGCCGTCACCAAACCAATGGCGAAAGCACCAATGCCCCCATTCCCCACAGGCTTGCCGATACACAACTAGAATGTGAATTTAAGCTAAATCCTTTCCCCTCGCATGGGGTCAAAAGCGCATTTTGGACTTGGAGGCGGCGCCTGGGGCCCCACAAACAAATCGCCGCCTCTCTTTCCGCAGAGCGGCTGTAGCGGGCGCCATCCTCAAAGACATAGGCCGGGCCCAGGGAGGACAAAAGCTTGTTCTTCCCGAAGCCCTTGGGCTCTCCCTCCTGGCTGGGCCGGGTCATGGAAGCGGACCTAAGGAAAGCCGGAACCGGGCTCAAGGCCCAAAAATGCCCAGAGTTGCAACGTTATGGCTGATGGCTGACCTTTCGCTCACAACCATTCCACCGGCTTGCCCAAGTGTCTATTTCCTAGCTTGACTCCCACCACTGCCCTCCTCAACCACCTGCGCATTGTCGGAGGGGGCTGTGTCCGACTTGGGGCAAGCACATGGGCCTTGGCGCGTCCGAGGACCTTCTGGCACTGCGTATGCTCAAAACTCCCGTGGACCATGACCGCGGTTCCCTGAAAAGAACTTCGTATGTCCCAATGCCCAGCAAGTCAGAGATTACAAAGCGAATTCAGGCGATTGACGCATCAACCAAGAACAAGCCTGTAGGGTTGCCGAGGCTTGGAAGAACCAGGCCAGCAGCACACAGCTCCTTCCCTGCGGGTCGTCTCCGGATTCCCTTGACACCGGACATCGGCCGGGTCCAAAAACAGAAAACCCTCCCCACAGTTGCGCTGAAGCTGCCGAGGTGCTGGGCCCACACTGGGCACTCCCCATCTGTGCTGAGAAAAAGGTGTGGGCACTGATGTTAGATGCCCTTGGCCATTTGCAAAACAGCTAGGCTCCGCATGCCGCACTCCTGCGGCTCAAACATCTGGTCATGGGTGAGTGCAAGGGGCAAGTTGTGTTGTTGCCAAACCTATTTGCCATGTGCCGAAGCATCGAAGCATGAGAGGCCCTCAATGGAGGTGCTGTGAGAGAAAGGGCCGAGCAGGGAAACTGCGCGATGCCGCATTTGGTTTTAAATGCAAGTGGGAACAAACCAGTACACTTCTTTGCTTGAGGCAAGCCATTCGAAAATGAAGTTGCCAACCATGGGATGAGAAGAATCCAAAGGCAAACCGCCCTCGCACGGGAACCAGAAAGTGGGTACAAAATCGTGTTTTTCGTGGTTGAGACCTCACCTTTAGGCGCACCTCGATGTGGCTTGCTCGTTTTTCAGCCGCTGGCGGCTTGGCCGCCATCGCTGGGTCGCAGTCGGAAGCTCAGTTGCTGCGTTGCTTGCGAGGCTCCCCTCCTTGTTACATCCACCATGCCCAACCAAACTTTGCAGGGAATCCCATTACTCCACATTATTCCCCACTGAGCCGTAACATGAGACGAGCAGAGATCGTCCCAATACAAATCTTTGTGAATCGGCGCGAGAGCCTCCAGACGAGGCAAACTTTGGCGCGTCATTGCGTCGCCATGAGACGTTAAGCACAAAGCAAAGCAATTGAAATCCGAGGGCCGCATGGCTCATCCAGCGGGGGAATTCCTTGGCATCGCTTCATGACATGACAATGATTCAGAACCCGCCAGCCCGGGGGGCAATGACAAGCCGAGGCTCCATGCGTGTGGTTGTTGTTCCATGGGGCATTGAAGTGCATGGCGCTGCCGCTGTGCATCCACTTGTAGGTCTTCATGCCCTGGCACTCCTTCAGAAATCGCAACACTCCAAAGGGGAGGAACAAGGGGGAATTCAGCTTTGCGTTTGCCATGTTTCTTGGTGGGCCGTTTGAACATTTGGAGCAAAGGCTACCATTAAAGATGCAAGCCCCTCTGAAATGGTGTGGCTGTTCCCCACCCTTTGGCTGTTCCCTCTCCTCACCGCAAGTCTGGTATTTGGATCGCGCATCCGTGATGGTCTCGCACAGCACTTGGCGACTGGAGCCCAGCGAGTAGCAAACCTGGAGCACCGCTTCTAGGCTATTCACATTATGCGATTGATTGGGGGCCCTTTCATGGACATCATGTATACAGCGGATCTTTCGCGAATCATCAGAGCCGGGCAATTCCAGAAAGCGCGCTTGCCGAAAAGCCTAGCACCATGCCAAGCCCTTCACCAAAACTTCACATTTCCGCACAACAGCCTCTCACAAAGGGCTGATGGCATAAACTTCTTGGCGAAAGCAAGATGGCCCACACTTCTCTCGGAACCAACTTGAAGGTCGGTCCATCAGGCTGGAGATGAGCCACGGTCAATATCACTTGTTTCCCCAAAAGGACATCCCCTGGTTTGGTGAGAAATGTAGAGGGTCCTCTGCATGTCCCTCCCGGATAAACCATAGACTGCTCAAAATTTCGGCCAAACCTCCAATGGATCGCCAAGAAGCTGTGCCGGTGCACTTCATGAAGCTGCAAGTGCAGTTGATGCCGCCCTTCTGCCCTGCGCCATAGATGTCTCGGTGCTGCCTGAGATGGGTGGCTGGCTTAAAGCGACAACCAAGGCAAAAAGCCTGTTTTGGGTTTCCTTGTTTTGATGCCCGGATGCAGGGTGCTGATCTTCCAAAGCTGCTGCACGCTAGCGAGTGTTCACGGATAATAGCCTCCTTCTGGAACCCCCTCCTGCACCTTTCAGTCTCCGGATCTCGTATCCAGGTGGACGCTCGTTGAATGAGACTTGCCGGCAAAAAGCCTAATTGTCAAGTGAAAGGGCAAGGCTTCTTGCTGAAGCAGGCGCTTGTGCGAGGACTTGTGGTTGGGGTGAAAGTTCAGCTGCACCGCCGTCACACCTTTGTGCACAGCCCTCTGCCTTGAACAGCTCTATTTTGGCCGCCCCTGAAGTTTCCTCGATTTCCCTTAAAACCTTGCACGAAGCTTTGCGCTTCAAGGCTTGCCCATGTCAAATGCGCCAAAAATAGCGATGCCTGTAAGCCAAGTGCTTCCAGCACCTTGGCCCCCGACGGTAGCCATACTCCTGTTCTGTGAAGGATACGAGTGCGCGCACCCCCTGGCAGCCAAGGCTGGCGGTCAAAACAGATCTTCCCCCGCTCTGCCAGAGTCGCCCCGCAAGCAACAAAAGCCGGTGGAGAAGGACGGCTGACAATTTGTTCACAGCCTCCTTTGTGGCTCAAAATGCTTGAATAGGTGGGAGCTGAGAAAAGACATCGGCTTCCCGCACCCAGTTTGACGATGCGTCTATGTTTGGCGGCCAGGGCGATGTGCCTAAGGCTGACCGGCTATGAATTATGATTGTAACAAATGAGTGCCGAAATCTACAAACAACATCGACAAGCACCAAAACAAGGGAAGGCCCCCAGCGCCTTGCCAGCCTCACTCTCAGTGTTGTTGCGCTCCAGGACGCCTACGATGGCATTGGCAGACTGGTTCCTGAGCTCTGACGCACACGACAAACTCCAAGCTTGCCTGGCTGAGCGAATTGTAGACCGTAGCTGCAAATGCCCCCACTCCCTGTCCAAGAGCCCTGGGAAACTGCCCAACATTTGGCACCCGAATGCAATCAGACCTGCAGGCGGGGAATGAGAGCCAAAAAGGCGTGCTTCCAAGTCTCCTTTCCTCGTTGGAGAGCAGGAACTTGCCCCCTGGCAAACGCCAGGGACTTTCAATGAACCCAGCTTTATGAGTGCACAAAAACTCGAGTGGCAGCCCTGGCAAAGCCCGTTCCCAGTGCGGTTGGGACCCCTTGTGACCACAAGGGCCAGCACCCAGCACCCTGCCTGACTTCCAAACGCAGCCTTCCGGCGCATGCAAGGCGGCCTGCACCAGGGCCTTAAATAACCACTGGTCCGCTGGCATATGACCTCAGGGGTCAATGCTGGGCGGAGGGTTGCGACAACACAAAGGAAAACCACAATTTTGCGAGTCTCTATTTTTCAGGATGCCCGTAGGCCCCCCGTATTTGCATTGTGTGGGAGTTCTCAGCGTCTGCACGTTTCACCCATATCGCCTCATCATTCAACTTGGGGGTCGGCTAGTTGTGCTAGGTGTGTGGCTGGTTTAGCAGTGGCCTTAGGGATTTGGGGCTTATAGGAGTTGTGGGCTAGTTTTGGCTAATCGGTGTCCCCGGCTCCAAGCCGTCAATTCGCAATGACCCTGCCATGCGGCGATTGCGCAGCCAGGTGCCCTAAGCGTTCCCCCAAGTGATCTAACATGTTGCGAATAGCCAAGCAAAAAATGATGTAAACCCTCCACTCTCCATAAAATCCCACACAGCTCTACATTTGGCTGGGGATCGCCATGGTGGAGCGATTGGGCCCACCCTAACACCAGCTCCGCGTGGCCGGCAGGTTCAAGAAGGGAGACGGGATGGGGTTAAGCTTCCACTGGCCTTCCAACCGCAAAGTGTTAATTCAGGTTACAGAGAGTCCCCGGTTGAAACCACCCCTCCCCGGTCCAACATGTTTCAAGCAGTGGGAGCCTTAGCCGGCCGTGTCACTTGGCGCCACGTCTTTGAGCGCCACAGCCACGGCATCGTTCATCACCAAACAAAGCTCCCCAGGCTGGGCGGAGCCCGCATTGCACGGGCACGCCTGCGGCAAGCGGGGCGGACAAGCATGGCCCAGCAAGAAAAAGAAGTATCTCTCTTGAACCCACAAAATGAAAATCTAAAGGGAAACGCCCCTTCATTGGGGCATGCCTCACCTTCCAATCAGTACTTAGAGGGTGGGGACGGAACACGGCCTGATCCAACAGCTGATTTGCGTGCTGCGAAAAAGTGAGCCACTGGAGCCCTTTGGCTCATGCGCATCCTGCATGGAATTAAAACATGGAAGATGCATGCCTTGCCAACTCACAAGTCCAGCTTGATAGTTCTCCATATGAGGCGCAAACGCCCCACTCATACGGGTATGCATGCCTTAATTCTTGGGGGACCCAAAAATTCAAAATTGTGGCTTCCTTTCGGTTTCCCTTCCAGACGATCCCAGAATACCCTCAAAAAAAGACACACCCGCACCGAGTTCTACAGCCATGCCTCGTCCAGCCCGCAAGGCACCGAAGCTTCTGCAGCGCCGTCGGGGCAGGTGACGCGGCGCCACTTCCTCGGCTAGGGGAAGTCCGCGGTCAAAATGTCTCGTTCCCCAAGAAAAGATGGAAAGTGTGGCGTTAAAGAAAAGAGCTGAGCGGAGTTAGATGTAAGTGCTGTACAACTGGCTGGAATGCGTGCGAGGGCTACCCGGAGTGATTTGATTTGGAACAAGTAGATGGAGGATGTATATAATGCATCGCGTATATGGGAGTATCATTTTTTAGGTATCCTTTTTTTGTGGCTTCAAACGGAACCCAAGTGAACCTGACACGAACAATTACTTCTTGTCCAGGTGTAGTGGACACCAAAATGCAAAATGATTGTTCAAATGACGTCCAAAGAAGCCCCAGACAAACCCACGCGAACAATTGGGGCTCAAGCCCCGAGCCCACCGTCCGCCCTTCAGCCGAGATTCATGAGGTGCGCCAACTCCTCATGATAATTGTGGCTCTAAAAAGATGGCCAAAAAAAAAAGAACCGAAGACAGAACAACTCTGCGGAGGCAATTTGCTTTCTTCAACTTGACAGGGCTAAGAAGCTGTTTGAGGGCAGCACCATGTGGCCAAGGCTAAGTGACCCAGTCAGAACGCATATGCCACTCCGAAGGAAACCCTCTAAACCTTTCAGCTTGGTTTGGGCCCGGGGCCAAAAAAGGCAACTCCCTACCCGCACAAAACCGACCAAACCAACCGAACTCAACCCAAACCCACCCAAACCCACCCAAGAGCCAACAGCCAACAGCCAACAACCAACAGCCAACAACCAACAGCCAACAACCAACAGCCAACCCAACCCAACCCAACCCAACCCAACCAAACCAACGAAACAAACCAAGCATTTCACCGTCTGCAGCTCTCTGATCCTACCTCTGGCTCCCGCTCCGCTCGCGCGCTCTCACTTCACTCCATCGCTCCTTGTGCGTCATGAAGGAGCCCTCCTTTGGCTGCAGGGTCTTCAGGACCCTGTTCGCCTGCTCGATCATCGCTGCCTGCGCACATGCCCGGAATCTATGCGGTCCAGACCCAGAGCTGGGTGCGCCAAAAAAGCCAACCAAGCAACCAGCCAACCAAGCAAGCAACCAGGCAATCGAGCAACCTAGGCAGCTGGCCCGCCAACCAACCAACCAACCAACCGACCAACCGACCGACCGACCAACCAACCAACCAGAACTGCAACCTGACATGCCAGCCCAACAAACACAACTATGGCGCCCAAGCTTCCAAACTCCGCCTCCACCTTCCGGGTCTTCGCGCGAGCGATCTGTGCCAGAAGGCTGCTGTAGCGGCCCCGCTCCATGGCCGTCTGCAGCGCCTGGCGCGGAACCCCCTCACCAAGCAGCTGACGGATGCCACCTGTTAGATCTACCATGCTGTTGGATTGTTGGACTTGCCCCACACATTCCGGCAATTTACCCCGATTTGCCAGGGAGTGGTGGGGATGTGGCTGGTTCACCTAGAAGATATAGGAAAGAGAGGCATACCGTGACCGAGCTCCTGCTGCCCTCTCCCTACCGGAGCTGCCTGTTGCTGAGCCAGCTTGGTCAGCTCCTTCTTTTTGGCGCGCCGGATATTCACGGTCAGAACCTGAAGCAATTCGCACTGCTGGGGCTTTTGCGGACCTAACATTCTGCAGGGTGTTCCGAAAGCGCCACCAGAAACGCCTTTTCAGTGTGCGCATCAAGTCCTGTTCGACAGCTACAAGGTGATTCCAGGCGTCTAAGCTCAAGACAGCCTGGGGTCCCTCGGAGATGGACATGTCCACGGCGGTGCCTGCACTGGTAGACTGGCCTAACTCTCGTTCCTGTGGTTCTGAGGGTGGCCCGCCTTAAAGTGGAGGTTCCCTCATTTGGCCAGACGTCTGAAACGCGAGAATGCATAACCAGAAGGAAAAAAAAATACGGTGGCAAAGCAGTTGTCAGCTATCTAAACATGCTGTAGTTGCCAGCTGACAAAATGCAAGACCCAGCCAGGCAAAGGTGTTCGCCTTGCCACGTCACAGCATTGCTGATTTAAGGGGGAGGGAGGGGGAGACCGAGAGAGAGAAAGAACGAAAGGAAGAAAGAAAGCGAGAGAGAGAGAGAGAGATAAAACAAAGTCTAAACGGTCTAAACGTTTCCCTAATTGAATTGCTTAGCATCCCACGGCCACCATGAACCAGGAACCTTCATTGGCGTGATCTTGCGGGTGTGGAGCTTTGAGCATTGTTTCAGGCCTTGGGCAAGCTGCAAATTCCAAACAATTTCAACACCTGGAGCGATGAATCCTCGAGTAAAGGACCTGCACTATCGCTCTGCTCGTTTTACCCCCGAATCGGTGAGGTCGTTGAACAATTGGCACAAACAATCCACCACAAAAAGAAGCTCTGGCAGCTCAGCTTTAACTTTACCCAGCCTGTGTCGCTTCCTTTCTTTCGGAGCCCCTATCAATTCCCAGGCAAGAAGGAGCTGTTGGCGTTTCTGCCAAAGCCAAAGGAGAGAAGACAAAAACACCCACGCAGAAACTTGCCCCAGCCGCGCCTCACGTCGCTCGAATCTCCCGAACCGCGGCGCGAAACCGAAACTCGCGCCTCGCCCCGTGGCGCCCATCCCGCTGCCCAGGCCAAGCTCTTCCGCCCCCAGCGCGAGCGTGCGGCGCCGCACCTCCGTCGCCACGAAGCTGCGCCCCGCCTCGCAAGCCAGCGGGCCGAATGCAAAGCACAGGGCCTCGAGTCGACTCGAGGCAAGGTCATGCAAGGCCGCTGGGCAAACAGGCTGATGATTCATGACATTTGGTTTTAGTAAGGATCCCTTTCTTCCAGGGCAGCCCTTCTGATTCATGATTGCGGGGTGTCGTTGATAAGGGGTTGATAGCACCCTGCCACAAGCAAACCAGGGGGAACCTGAGTGAGGCCCCTCAAGACCGCTTTCCTTCGCAGCTTCGGTCACATGAGGGGAATTTCAACGGCTTGCGGGGTGAGACCAGCCCAGCCGGAGCAGATGCCTTCTGCTTGTTTTGCGCGGCTACCTGACCCCTTTAATTTTTTCAAGCTGCCCCAAAATGCCCAGGTAAAGGTGTCCTTGGCTAGGGCCTAAGAACTGCTACAGGCTCAATAACTCTGGGATGAAGAACATCTGTGCCAGCTCTCCGCCCCCTCACGGATGCCTCCACCTGCACGCCAAAGGGCACCTGGGCAAGTTCCACGCAAACGCAGTCTTGCTCTTGTCTCAGAACATCAGGAGACCTTGGGCAGCCAATGCCATCACCATCACGCAGAAATCGACTTCCCCAAATTCCTTCACCCCTCTGTTCCTTTCGCGCCTGGCCCCAGACTTTACTGCATCCAGTAAAGTCACACCCTCAACATTATGCACATGGCGGCCTGAAGGCCAACTTTGAGAAGCCAAGGTCTGTAAAGTGTCTGCCTTTTGAGCGAAAAGTGTTGTTTTAGTCTGGGAACATGAATTTCTACCTCCAGGCGTTTTTGGGCGAAAATGACTTTGTGCAACCATTTCTGGGGACCAAGCGCGTTTTTTTTTTTTGGGGGGGGGGGTGCAGCAACAGTGACAATTCGTGCAATTTCAATTGATTAGCAGCAGAAATTCAGCACCGCAGGACTTTCCAGGTATGTGCTAAATTCATGGGCCCAGCTTCGACGATGTGCAAGCCAGGGCACTGGCGGCACGCCTGCCACGCACAGCCTCCCCAGGACATCCTTGCCGCAGAAGCGGCGCGTGGTGGCCACGCCGCAGGGCAAAGGCGCTGGGAAGCCTCGCGGCCAAGCGCCGATTTTGCGAGCCCGGTCCAACCCAAATGCAATACCATCCGCACTGACCCCCAAGTGGAAGTGTACCAGGGAAACCGAAGAGAAACTAGGTCTTGGGTGTCCCCTGTTTTGCTTCCAAATTTTCGGGTTTTGGCCTATACTGAGTATATCCATGTGGAGGTCCATCTTGGGAAAACGGTGGACACGTCCACGGCCTCCTTCGTCCTGTGCTTCACCCTCCGCCAGCTCCACCGCCAGCTCCACATCCTCCACCTCCGTGGTCACCGTGATGGCGAGTTGGGCCCTGGCCGCCTGAAGCGAACCACCCCAGCGGACCACGCCGAGCGAAAAACCTTCTTGGGCCTTTGCCGAAATGATTCGACGTCCTGGACCAAACAAACGACAAATAACAGCTTGCCAACTGGACGTGCAATTTCCTCCACATGTGAGAGCAAACCATCGCGGATGACATGGAAAATTGCACGGAAACATAGCTCACACTTACACAAGCATTGGACGCGATGTGTTGCAAGGGTATCATTTTGACAGGGCCAAGCACGCACACAAAGACATACCCAGGTGCGGCAATCATTTCACTGTGACCTCCAGTAGAAAGTTGTCACGCGGCGGATTGTAGTTGGACATAAGGTCCTGCTTTACATACCCCCAGTGGACATGCCGGTTGGAATGAATTGTATAGGCATTGTGTGGCATATTGTGGCATCTAGGGTACGTACCCTATGGCTTGTGGGGAAGGCATGTTCATTTGGACTGCCTCCTACCATGCCTTCAAAATGGTCATTGGGTGTCTTTTTCAGGGTGCCCGCTTTTCAGCGATTTAAATGGGAAGCCAAAGGTAAGCACGCTTTCTGCGTGGGAGGGGGGGTGCACATTTTCAGACAAGCCCATGGTGTGCTCAACCGGAGCAAGTTCGAAGCTGGGGGGACTTGGGATTGCTCAGGGGTACACTTCATCACGCCTTGCGCGGAGCAACTCCGCGAATCACGGGAAGCCGCAAGACCTCAGCTTGAACAAACAACTATTCCACAGGTATGACACACGTGCAGTGGCCACAGCATGGCCACAGCGCACGTGCCATGACTCGGAAGCACTATGGCATCACTTTCCCCGGAGAGACAACGAACGGATCCCATCTCCCCTACGGGGTTCACCGAACTGCGCCTCAGGAAACAGCTTCCACGTCCGATCGCAGGGCGGACCTTCCAATCCAAGGCCAAGGCCGACGCGCTGGGCTGTGGGCTTGGTGAGCTTGCCACCAGCGCAAGCCTCGGAGCCCGGAGACGTTGAAAAGGGCGCTCCGAAACCGGGGCGTGCGTCACTGACCCAATGTGATGGCTTTCCTTCTCTGGTGTCCCTTGAACACATCCCAAAAGGGCACCCAATTCAAAGAGAGAGTGGGACACTTCGAGAAATGGGTTCCTCAGGCAACGGTGGTTCCACCAGCACAGAGGTTGGCTTGGGCAAACCCACTCGGGCCAAATAGAAGAGCTTATTCAATGATTCAATCACGATGGGCAAAACACTTACTGCTGGAAACCTCTGGCGGGAGCAACGACGTGAAAATGATGCCTTGTTGGCCTTCCGAGATGCTAAGCTGGGATCGCAGAAGAAGGGTCAATGCCCAAAATGTTGGGCAAACATGGGGCCTTTCAAAAAGAATGCTCTTCTGCCATGCCTATTTCTCTGCCAGGCGTCTCCTCACATCGGGAGGCATGGCCTGATCAGGTGCAGTGGAGGATCCCGCCTGATGCTTCACTGAGAACCTACCGTCAGTTAGGTGCCGGGGAAACTTGTCCGGTACCATCCAGTGCCCTGTTTGAGGGGTGCCCAGTGCACGCGCCACCCAGGCGCCCGCCCAAACACTGCCTCGGCCCCGCGACTCGCGGCTCGCGGCTCGCGGCTCGCGGATGCCCTTGCGCCTTCCGCAGGCTCCGCGGGCGTCCCCATTGACGGGAGGAGAAACCCACGCGCTGCAAGCCACGGAGCGGCGCGCGGAGGGGGGGGGGGGGACCGACTGAAAAGCCTGAGTCAGCTTATATGCCATGTTATGTGATTTGTATTGTCAATGTTCAGTTTCTTGTTCCTTTCTTATCATTTCTATTGTCAGCAGTGTGGAAGAAGCTAGCCCCCTCAACTCAATGGTTTCTTTCATGCTGGCGGAAGCGCGAATTGTAACCATCAACAAGTCCCTGACGAAGGCCCAAATACACACCAAAGGATATTTTACAAATGCCTCTCTTTCCTTGTGAAGCGCCTGGGTCCTCCCAAGCTGGCTCCCCATCGCTCGACGGGGCATCAGCTTCCCTAACAGGCCCTAGCACGGTGCGAACACCCGTGCCACGTATGGGCTTGTCTCCTTCGAAACAGCCCAAACAGATTGCCATCACAAAAAAAAAACATGCTGTGCGATAGCACCAAGGGATCCACCCCCCCCCCAACCCCCAACCCCCACCCACCCACTCACCCCCACCCGAACTGCATTGTTTTACTACAACAAGGGGTCCGCAAGTTGAAGGACCCACCTACATCACCGCGTGTTCCTGGCGGCACATCCAGTGCTTCGACGCACTCTTGGCCCCCCTGCGTGGCACGTGCTGCAGCAGCAAAGCGGCGCTCGGGGTGGATGCAAAAGACCATGGTGACCTCGGCTGGATGCGTGGCATGCAGCTGATCAAGATGCGCCGCCGCCAACACCCATATATGCCAAACTAGAATTAAATGTTTATTTGTTCTAATCTCTAGAAACCGTTTTGGATGCGCCTTTTTTATAATTTCACCTTTTCTTCCCCCTGTTGGTCCTTTTTTAGTACTCTTTTAACCTTCTACAGGGGTGGAACCACCATAATCTTCCTGTCGTGCGGTAGTCTTCCTGTAGCTTTCCTGCGCTGTGTTCGGCTCATTACTTCTCATTCGTAGCACAACAGAGCCAATCTTCGTACAACCTTCGTTTCAAGACCTCTCGTCCTGCAAAAGCCGCCAAATGCACGATGATAATCCTTCATTTTCAAGACTCGCCTTCTTTTGGGGGGTTTTCAATCTATTCCACTCGAATGCATATCCCTTGTACCAATCTTTTTGGTGGTAGCTCAGATGGACTGTGTCTTTCCGGACCCTGAGACCCGGAAGTCCGAACCCTGAGGCGCGCAGGCATGGCCGTCTGAAAACTCACCTCAGCGTCCGAGGGCACAGCTCCGCAGTCCTCCTTAAGGCCCTCGTACAAGACCTCAAGGTGCCGGATCTGACCCGTCGCTATGGTTCTGATTCACCCTGAATTCCTCCAAAGCCTACATGTCACGATTGCAAACACTCAAACGCGCGGCCAGAAATTGCCGAATTTCCCCCAGAAGCTTACCGCTCCAAAAATCAAGCGACCCAGCCTGGGGTTCGAGTCTTGGGGCCCAGGCCATGTTGAGAGCGCTCTGGCGCCGGTCAGACCTGAACAAGCCAGTGGCGACGCCAGAAACGGGTCCCACTCTTAACAACTGAGTGTGTGGACTCTCTATGAGCCCATGCTCACGTTGGCCCCTTTTGGTAGATATGTTGCCTTAATTGCATCATAAATGAGCCAGAAAAAGCACAAACCTATAGAACCCTCCCGGTTCGCCTTCCGCTTTGTGCTTCGATGGTTGCTTTGCCTCTTGCCGGTGGCGGGTGGCACTTTGGCCTTGCCAAGACTCCTCCGCGAGGCCGTGCAAGCAGTGCCGTCAGCCGAGACCAAGGGTTCATGATGCATATGTGACACGTGGATGGCGCATGTGCGCAAAGCATTGGACTACCTGACACTGACACCCTGTCTCGGACAATGGCAACGAACACGGGGCCTTTGCAAGAGTCTTCGGGATAAACCGATGGAAAGCTTTGGCACTGCACGCGCGGCCCACTCCGCGTTTGCGCCGGTGGCCCTCACGTCAATGAGCCACGCCGGCCGCGCCTGCGCCAGAACCTGCCCAGGCGAGTTTCTGGCGCCCAAGCAGGTCTCACGCATGTGTCTCTCTTTCCCGGACCAAGTTTTTGGCCATTTATCAGAACCAGTTTACTGATCTCAACCCTCATTGGTCATAGACCCTTCAGTCAAAGCCTCACAGTGCGTTTAAGAGGTGCAGCTTGCCACCTTTCTGCGAACAAGTCCTCAAAACAAAACAGGCATTGGTGAGATCCTTTCCGACGCCTGCGCTACCTAGCCTCGAAGTGAACGCAAACGCCCTCGAAGACGAGCCAAAAGCAGCAACAGCACAAGAGCCAGGAACCACCTCCTCGTCAGTCAAACGTTGTCAAACGTTTCTTCGGCAAAGTCTGGACTGGCTACGCCGCAGGCAACCTCAATTGAATCAGGGCCAGGATGTCACAACCTAAAGTGCAATTTCTGGAAACTCCTTCCTGGAAACTTGGAAAGGTGCCAAAGTGCTGGCTTCCTGCAACGAGGCTGCCTTGCCCACAAGCCATCGTAATGCCTAGGCGATCCGGCTCTTTCAACGGGCATCGACTCCAGCTGCTTCTCTTTTCCCAAGCCATGCGCGCGCGGCCAAATGCCAGGGCGCAAGCTTTGACGCCCTTGGAACAATGGAAAGTCGCCGGCTCCAAATGGCAAGTTCAAAGCGACTCGCTCCGCGCAGAAACGGCACTGCAAAATACTAAGGGGAACAAACATGGGATTTGCCATCTGTCTGCCCTCAAACGCTTCGATCAGTCGGCTACAGAGCCCTGTTGTAGGACCTTGTCTTGCTGCAACCTTCTGCCTACTTTGGCTCGACGACGCCATGCACACCGCTGAGACAAACAAGAAGACACGCAAATAGCATCCTGGTCTTGGGCTCAATGAGCAACAAGAATCTTAGATAAGAAGAGCCCTAGCTACTCCCTCGTCTTTGGAGGGCACTGCGAGATCGCGTGGGAGGTCTGCTTGATCTGGGGTGACAGCTCAGGCCTGCAACCCAGAGACCGGCCAGTCACGCACTGAAAAACGTAAGGGCATGAATGAAGGGGCAAACGTCGCCGTATGCTACCCCCTATCTGAGATCTGAATGAAGCCTGTGTGGCGAAAGCTGTCTTGTCATAGAAATCCGAGTTGCTCATCTGGCACTCACAACGGTCAGGGGCGCAGGGGCAAGAAACTTGACACGAATATGACAACGGTGTGACCATTGGTTTTGCCCACTCTCCCTCCGTCTGGCCCAACGAAACTTATCAAGCTCGCTGCCTTCTGCGCGGACTCCTCCAAAGAATCCTCTGCTGCACGCTTGACGCCCCGCGTGTGTGGCACCGCGACCTCAATACCGCCTCAGCAGAAAGCAAGTCGCTCGCAAGAAGCCGGATGAAATGCATGTGTATGTGTACCGTACAGGTAGCACCCAGAGCCCAAGAGCCCGAAATCTTGCAAGTAGAGAAATTTCGGAAACCCTTCCACACCAAGGCCGCGGAGAGCACACAGTGGCATTGGAATTTGAAGGATGTCCGATCAAAGTGTCAGAAGAATAAGACATGTCTTTGCCATCCGCCCCTCATCCCCCTTGGCCCACCACGCTCTGTGATTCTCACCGGGTACGTTGGCTGCTGGGCGCCCTTGGTGCTTTCGCCAGTCCGCAGGTCGAAGCAAATCCCATGACCAGGGCATCGCACCACGCAGCGATTGTCCGCCAAGTCTTCCACGTCCCCACCCGCCAAAGACGCGCCTGGCAACTGGGGTGAGGGCAGCTGCTTCCAATGGCTGACACCTTTCCGCCCTCCAATGGAGATGGTGGTCATGCTTTTGAACCATCGGCGGGACCAAGTCATGATGAATGCATGACATGGATCGCGCAACCATGCAAAAGTTATAGCAGGAACAAACTGCTGCAACTCGCACACCGACTCATCAGCACGCAGGGTCGTGGCATGTGGGGACCCTTCCGCTGCAAGGATCGAGTGCACACCACCCCGGAGGCCCCGGGCCAATCAAATCACGGTGACTCAAAACCTTGCTGTCAGGATGAGGCGCCCATGTGGCTGCATTTGTCGTCCAGAGCAAAGAGCTGCCCCTTGTGGCGGAAGATGGCCACCTCGCGATTCCCGACTTGCACCAGCTTCCTGCCCTCCAGCTCGTTGTCCGCGCACACACGCACCCACCTGGGCATTTGGTCCAAAACATCATGGCAAAGACCAGCAAAACACCTGCCAATTCCTGCCAGCCTCGACAAGAGGTGGAAAACCGATCCGGAGGATGGCAACCAAAAGCTGATGTTCAAATTTCACTCAAAAGTGGACCCCGAAAGTGCATTCAAAAGGGATAAGAGCACTAAAGCAAAGCCTATGATACTATGACTTGATGGCTAAAAGACATATTTGTTTGACTGTCGTAGACGCATTCAATTCCAGGCTCCCCGGCGCCAGGTTCTCCAGACTTGGCTCGCGCTCGCGGCTCGGACTGCTCCCGGGGCTCCCGGGGCTCCCGGGGCTCTCGGGGCTTGGGGCCCGCATCCTCGGAAGGCCCAACAGGCAGAAACAAAAATCGCAAACGAAACAAAGATCAAAAGATCAAAAGATCAAGAGATCAAAGCAAACCAATCAAAAGAGCAGCACCGCCAAAATCCAAGAATGGATCTGAAGACTGAATCTGCTCAAATGTGCGCGGGTGCTTGCAGTTGCCAGTTTTCCTCCTTGAGGGCAACCGGGCTACTATGATCTGAACCCGCTCAGTCTGTGCAATCAAGCATCTGAAAGTGGAAGTCTGGTGGAACTAGGTCGGCATAGTCATCATCCTTGAGACACAAACGGAGTGATGTTCATTGCGGACATTTTGACAACGCAAGGAACTGGCATGCAGTTTGAACCCGTCAGCCATAAACAAGCAAGTGCTTGTTGGCGTGTCCATATTCTCGCCAGGCATCATGGGTGTAGCTTAAGCAAATGGTATCGGCCTCCCCAGTCTTCCAGTGGGCCATGTCTGCCAACTCTCTGTACTCCTGACCAGTCATGACTCTGAGAAAGCTCAAAAACGGATGCCCATGTGCTGGAGGATAAAAGGCTGGATGCTCAAAGGAAAGAACGCAGCTCCGGCACTGCCTGTTGCATCCTGTTGCTTATCTTGCTTCGCTCCAACGCAGCACCTACGCCTTGACCTTCTTGCTATCTTCATACCACCTTCTTTTTGTCAACCTCTGCATCTCTTACACTGTATGGCGCTCGCCGATGTCAACGCCCCAGAAACGATTTCCCGCTTTCCCTTTGACGGTCGGCTGCTCTCACCTCACTTTTTTTGGCCTGGCACAAGGTCCCCCCCCGCTGCGCCGCGCCTGGGTCCTGCGAAAGGACCGGCTCTTGGTCCAAATAATCAAGGAGGCCCGCTCCCCGCTGTCGATGTCCAGGGCGCCGTGCCGGTGCTTGCCGCAATGCACCACGCACCAGCCGCGCCGGTGCTGGTAGGTGAAGGAATGCTTTCGGTGGTCCTGCATGGCAGGTCACCAACTTCAAATCTGCTTTCTTGTTTGTTTTGTTGCTTCGTGTGTGTGTGTGGGTTTGCTGGCTTGCTGGCTTGTTTGTTTTCCTTGGATGCCAATCCCTATTCAAAAGGGTCATTCCTTTCACATCTCCCTGGATCAGAGCTATCATCCCCCTCCTCGGCATAGAACATGCCGCAGAAGGCCAGTTGACTGCCCCGGTACGCATCATCTTCACTGAGGCCAATATTAAAGGTGATCTCGCACCTGGGTAGCCGAAGGCTCCCCATGCTTCAAGGAAGGAGCAACATGCCAGTGCAAGCCTTGCCATCAACATTGGAAGCTCGGCATTGGGTTCCAAGCTTGCCAGTTGTTGGCAGTGAAGGCAGGGACTTAAGGAAGAACATGACAACAAAATGTGAGGCAAGCCTAGAAGGGCAGCATGGCGGATGCGTCACTGCCAAACAGGACCACAGGATGTGCCCTGCGGCTGTGTTCTCGAGAGCCGTATTCAAGCCACGCGAGTCAGCACAAACCTTCCCTGCACCAAGGCACTCATCCACATGCATGTCCAAATTCCGGTCGTTGTCCGGCGCGTACTGCACTACAAAGGTGTGGTGCCTCCACAACGAGCATATGCACCACCAACATCCGATACTAAGAAAGCACCCAAAGTGATCCGCCTTCATGTGCCTCGCTCTGTGCCAAGGTCTTGCTCGTGCTCCAATGCTGCCACAGCTTGCAATCTGCAAACATGATGCTTAATACGGTCTTGGCCTTTCAAGAACCCCAAAAAATACCATGCTTGGCGGGATTTGCTAATGAACACAAACAGGCAGGTTTCCCTCACACATACCCAAAAGAAACAATTTGCACCAAGCAAAAGCACACCCCGTCAGCGAACGCGCTGCCGAGATGCTGATCCAGCTCCGAGCCACCCCAGTTCCTGCAGTGCGTCTGCTGCCCCTTGACGAGCTCCTTGTGGGCGGGCCAAGATCTCAAATGGGCGAGCATCTTGGATGGCTTGGGAAACACCTGGACCTGCTGGTAGCCGTTTTTGGGTTTAAAAACCCAGAATGAGTTGTCATTTGGGGGGCGTTGTGATGCAATGCGTCGGATGTGTGCATGTGTGACTGCCTGAGCACATGTGGGTGTGTAGCTGGGACACAAAAACGAGTGTTTGCGCTTCATTCTTGATAGCTTCGCTATTTTTTGAGGATTTCCTCTCTCTCTCTCTCAGGGCGCGCGGCGAAGTGTGCGCAATTCAAATCTGCAAGTTCGACACCTGATGGCAATGGACGTCACTTTTCACAAAGCTTTGCAAAGGCATAGTGCCATCACGATTGGCCTGCGGGGTGGATGGAAAGGCAGGCCAAAGTCAAAGTAACGCCCTCAAAACAAGTGTCACGCGCGTGATGGGCTGCAGGGTGCGAGGGGCTGAAACTTGGACCCTTGAGAAAGTTGAAATCTGGAAGCTGGAGAGCTCAAAAAAGGCACTTGACATCTGACGCGTCTGTACCTCTGCGCACAACAAGCTAGTAACCACGACAAAGAAAGTTCCCTTGCAACCAGACCAGCCTGCCGGCCAGCCTGAATTCAGAGAAAACAACGCTTGCAGACAATCATGTTTCTCAGTGCCAAGGTCAAACTGCGGCCATCGAGGGCTCCAGCCGCACATCATCAGCACCGAAGAGCCGCGCGCCCAGAGGGGCCAAGACCTGGCGAAGTGTCCGAGTTCCGCGCCTCCATGCGCCAAACAAGATTTCCAGCTTTCCTGAGTTTAATTGGTGGCTTGGGGATTTGGCGCAACAGTGATGCCTCTAATTGCAGACCAGCGCTTTCGTAATTCCATGTTACATAAACGCCTGGAATTGCGGAGCTAAGTGCGCTGAATTGAGCTGCCCATGCCCTGTCTACGTGGCTCGTGGAGAAACAAAGCAAGAAGAAGCTTGTTTTTAAACCCACAGAATGAAAGGAATTGGAAGAGAAGAAAGAAACGCAAAAGAGAGAGAGAGAGATGTCAAATATCATGTTGCACTACTTGTCACTTGTACATGCATGATGTACACTACCCGACTGCAGGCCTTGAGTCTACTAGGAAAAGAGTGCATGCTGGCTGACTACATTTGTGTTTGTGATAACTGAACAACACTTGCACTAGAAGTAAAGTATCAACGTATTTTAACGTGGTAGCGGAGCTGAGATCCTAAACATAGGGGAGCTCCAGTAACAGCAGTAAGTACTACAACTGCACAGGCAACCACATGCCCAACTACTACGACATGTCAGGAGAACCAGCAGCAGCATCAGCACAACCAACTCCAGGAGCAGACAACGGGCCCACAGCAGAGGAGACAATAGGAGCCACAACTACGGGAACAACACAGGAGCAGGAAGACGTCCAAAGGCTACACAAATACAAACTGCCACCACCGTTCTTCACTGGTGACTACTCACAGTACGAAGAGTGGCTGTTCAAACTACAAGCATACCTCGGACTCATCGACCGAGACTTCGACATGGTGCTACAACTAGCACAAGCAGCTACAAGACAAATTGAAGACGCAGACATCAGAGCCCACATACGCGACCCTACACAGGCAGCAAAAGCAGTAGACCTCTCACGAGATCTACACTACATCCTCATCAACATCTGCCAAGGAGCAGCAGCTACAGTGGTTAGACAAAACCGCTACAATGCCAATGGATGTGAAACACTACGGCTTTTGCACAACAGGTTCAGCCTACCAGTAGGAACACGCAGTGTTGGCTACCTCACCAAACTACCGGAACCTACATTCAATGAAGCACAATTTGAAGAACAATTCCTACAGTGGGCATACGACATCAACCGCTACGAGAAAGACAACGGCACAGCACTACCAGATGGAGTAAAGATTGCAATACTACTCAACAAGACCAAAGGAGCACTCCAACAGCATCTCCAACTACGTGCTGGACAGATCACGAACTACAACGAGATCAGAGTTGTCATCCTGGACTACTACAAAACCATCTCTGCATTCTCAAGAGCGAGCTCAGCAGTTGGCACAAACTACAATGGTGGGACAGCACCGATGGACGTGGACAACATTTGGAGAAAAGGAAGAAACTACAAAGGCAAAGGCAAATATGGAGGCAAAGGACACTACAAAGGAAACAAAGGAAAAGGTAAGTACAGAAGCAAAGGCCACTACAAAGGATTCGACAAAGGCAGCAAAGGAAACTACAACAAAGGAGGATACAACAAGAACAAAGGAAAAGGCTACTCAGGATCCAAAGGACATGGATCAAGCAAAGGCTACAAAGGCCAAGGAAACTACAGCAAATCAAAAGGAAAAGGAAACAACAATTACACAACATGCCATCGATGTGGCAAACCAGGCCACTGGGCACAAGACTGCAGAGTGCCAGTATGGCACATAGGAGAAGGAGAAGAACTACATCCACTAGAACAAGAACAAGCAGATCACGACAACAATGAAGAACTACCTCAGGATGTGAACGACACTTGGGACTGGTACTACGAAGGAGAAGAAGGACAACACGAGGTGAACTACATGGAGGAGAACTGGAACGACTACGACTATGACAACAGCTGGGATTGGAATGACAACAGCTATGAGGACACAGCAAACTACATTGGAGGCATCAACGAGTCACACCTCACCATTGGACACATCAGACAAGCAAAACTCACGACTACACAAGCACAAATCCAAATCACTACTTGGCAAGAGAACAACACACACAACATCATGGAACGACCACAGCAAGAGCTTTCAACAATTCCTACAAGAAGACAACACACAGCCACACTTTGATATAGCAGCAGCCAAACAACAACAAAGGAACAAGAAGATTGAGAACACTATCACACACTACATCATGTACTCCAACTTCAAGTCATACCACCACCTGCTGATCGACTCAGGAGCGTCTACACACGTTTGCCCGAAGGACTACGACCAGACCTACCGCTACGACCTTGTGGAGAATCGGTTCCACAACTCTACACGGTTACCAACAAGAAGATTCCTGTCTACGGCATCAAGTACGTTCCCTACAAGCAGGACAACTTCAGGATCATGATACCCTACTACGTTTGTGATGTGAAGTACCCAATCCTCAGTGCATCAAGACTACTTGATAGAGGATATGGACTTGACTTCACTCCACGACACTGCACCATCACACATGGACAACAACAAGCACACCTCATAAGACACTCAGGACTTTTCTACCTACGAGCAGAGAAGATCGACAATCCTACAGGATTCGACATCTACCCAATGACTACAGACAATGGAAAATCCATTGCTGTGATTCAACCTACCGAGAGAGCAGCACAACAACAAGAACAAATCGCACCACTCACACACACAGACCAAGGACTACGACAGATCCTTGGTGGAAACACTGACTACTGGAAACTTGATGGTGACTACGCCATCAGAGTACACAAACGACCACGCAAAGCACTATTCACACCACACAACAGTGGTTGCCCAATACCTGAAGAAGAACTAGATGATTGGCGACTAACCATCATCAACAGACAAGGGCAAGAGCAAGAACAACTACAAGAGAACCCAACACAACTTTCCACGCAAGAACTACAACGAAGACTAGAGGGTGACAACTGGACTGGAGAAACCAGATTCAGAAGAAAGATAACACCTACACGCAGAGCAACATCAAAGACCACACCAACAAGGCAGAGCTCACAACCACAACGGCTAATGGACACACCACCAACCAGATCAAAGATCCAACTACGAGCACCACAAAAGATATGGAGACCTAAAGCAGCACCTTCTACAAATCTTGACACCACACAGCCAAAGGAGACAATCCACAGACCACTCACAGCACAGGAGGACAACCAAGACTACTGGGAAAGACAAGGTGAACACTGGATAAGACACCACACATCACTTAGAACAACTCTATTCACTCCAACAGATGGACCAGGACATCCACCAATCAGCACACTCGAGCCTCACAGAACTACAATCACTCACAACAACTGTGGAGAAGTTTCCCAACGCAAAGATGACTGGCCAGTCATGGGCAACGCAGCACTACCATTTCAATGGAAAGGAACAACAAGGTTCACCGTGAAGAAAGACTACGAGTACATCCAGGAGAACCACGATGAGGAACAACAACACGAGCATCATGAAGCACACAGAGCAATAGGACTACGACAACCTCAGCAGCCCACTCCACAACAAATAGCAGAACACAACTTGACACACCTACCATACAGAACTTGGTGTCCAATTTGCGTTCAAGGCAAAGGACGCCAGGACAACTACAAGAAACAACAATCACGACAACCCATCATCCAAGTGGATTTTGCCTACATCAAATCACAACAAGATCCGAAGACCATACCAGTCTTAACGGCAGTTGATGTTACCACACAACTGTGCATGGCGGTATTGGCTCCGGACAAACCATCAATGATGGACTACATGATCAACAACCTACAAGCATTCATCTTTGAATGCGGAAGAACACACGGCATACTACAAAGCGACAACGAAGACACACTCAATGCGCTACTACAAGCAACAGCATCTAAAGTCTGCTCAATGACTGTACGACATTCACCATCCTACAGAAGCAACAGTCAAGGAAGCGTTGAGCGACTACATAGAACACTTCTCGGACAAATCCGCGTCGTCAAAGCTCAGGTTGAAAGCAACTACAGCATGATGATGTCCACAAAGCACTGTCTACTACCCTGGATAGTACGACACGCAGCATGGACGGTAAATCGCTACGTCATTCACTCACGGCTACACAAGCTTCGAACGCCGCTGGGGAAGAAACTACGAGCGAGCAATCTGCGAATTTGGCGAGACACTACTCTACCTTCCACCACAACACAAGAAACTCCCAAAAGCAGACCTACGGATGCAGAAATGCATCTGGCTCGGAAAAGTTTCCGAAACCGGAGAAAACTACGTCGCAACGGAGTCAGGCGTACAAAAGGTACGAACAGTGCGGAGACTACAACCAGACTTCAAATACGACCTCGCACTATTGAACAAAGTTTCCGGCACACCGTGGGCACCACGACGGAATACCTACAACCCATCGTTCGCAACACTGTTGGATGCGCAACTACCACCGTCAGAGAAAAGAAGGTCCACGCAAGATTTCGGACAACAAACGAACGCTACGGACGACATCGTTGCGGAACCCGCAACGAAACAACAACGCACCACACCACCTCCACGACTTCCGTCAACATCGACGTCAAGTTCACGACCACTACCGGATAGTCCGATGGCTACTTCACCGACCGGACGACAACATCCACCACTCCCAGCACCACCTCGACAAACACTACGACGTTTAACTCCGGAAGAAGTAATGCCACCCACTAAAGCACAGAAGACCTCAAAGGACACTACAATCAGATCAACGGAGCAAGCAACCAAAGAACCACCACCACTATACGACAGAAAATTAACGCAGTGACACTTCCCAACGGCAAATTCATCACACCCTACACAAACGACGACACCTCAGAAGACCGACCCATAATCTTCGACAACGAAGGTTACGACGAAACACAACTACTGGAAGGAGTGAAACACGAGTCAAATCAAATGAAGCTACATGACGTCTACGACGAAGTAGATGCGTCTACCGTCGACGACAACGTCATAAGAGAAGCGATACCTACTAGATGGGTACACAGGAA